GGATGTCACGTAACTGCCTTTAGAACACGGTCATTCTGTGTCAGTTTATGTGCAATATGAAGCTACAAGTTAACTAAAGAGCGCTAACGTAAGCATGCTAACACAACAATGCAGGACACAGGCAACTGCAGCTCAAACAATTTTGACAATTTGTCTGCAGCTTGCGATTAAAGGTGCTTAATTATGATGCGTTCTGATTGATAACTCCTTTGAGCGAACATGAGTGGAGAGGGGTTTCAAGGTGTATCGCTAGAGGAGAGCGGAGGCTTCAGAATAGTGGAGGCGTGGCCAAACAGCAGTTTGTTTTGGTTTAATGCTGGGGCTCAAGGGCGACATCTAATGGATCAAAAAGTCGCATATTCTTCCTTTAAGTCAATTCATTGGTTGTTGAGATATTTAACTAAAAACAAACTCACAGTATAGATGGAAGGAAAGTGAATGAATGACTCATGTTGGGTTGTTCCTAAAGTTGGATTTTAAAGTGTTTAGTCATAGAAGGATTACATACAGATTACATTACTTGCCCACTAAACCCAACATCATTTTTTTTCAAGGTGTTATGAAATAAAAGTTGGAAAATGGACCATCATGAACTGAAAGTGTCTGCTCCGCACAAAACCCAGCAATACCCAAACGGCCTGTCACACCTGTAACTCGCAGCAGCGGGAGATTCTCAGTGTCTGAAGTGCTATCACACAACTGGAAATACGAAGCAGAGGCGGAAGCAGGTTTAGGCCAATTGATGGCGTGCAGTTGGCTAATATAGTCATAAAAGATGTGTGCAGCGTCATCACCCCATGCACTCACTCACAGTGAATGTTCCTGACACATCCACCTCCCCTTACTTCAAACAGACGTTTTAATCTTGGGATGGAAAGAACAAGTCTGCTTAAAGTTCAAGAGCCATGGAATCAGACATTTGGGTTCACACATGCATCCTATCAGAAGAGTTTAATGAGTATGTGTGAAAGGGACATGACATATATAAGGAGAACGAAGCAATTCACCTGTATAGTGGAGAATCTAATGTAAGGATTATGCAGGTCATTGGTTATATTACACCGTGCACCATCCTTAATCTAAAGTTAGCTCTGTCATCTTGTGACCATGAATGTCTGCACCAAATTTTCTGGCAATCCATTTTATACTGTTATGACTGAGCCATTCCTTAAATCATACTGTGTTACTTCTTTCTTTCTTTTATTTGAGATGACGTCCACTGAAGTTGTTAAACTGGGAAGAAAGAGCATCTTGGCATTGAAGGGAATGATTTGTAGAGTGAGTAAAACAGAGTACAAAGTTGAGCCAGATGTCATAAACAACAACAAAGAGGAGAGCGAGGCAGACAGACACACAGAGAGAGAGAGAGCGAGAGAGAGAGAGAGAGAGAGAGAGAGAGAGAGAGAGAGAGAGAGAGAGAGAGAGAGAGAGAGAGGCTGAATCTGGCAGTCTGGGGGGCATTAATGAAAAAAGACCGACACAAAAACTTGAGACTGCTGTTGAGTAAACAGTCATTACCCAAGCCCTTCAATTTGCTGCTTTATCACCTCTCCTGGACTTGAGCTTAATGTCTTTGTAATGAAATCCAGATGCAGAGAGAAAAGTAGTGGCGCAAAGAGAAAGGAGGTGGATCTCTGAGGAGGTAATAAGACTTGGGTTATCAACACTCAAACTTCTTCCTCACCCGTGGGAGCACCGCCTGTATGAGTTATGTTTAACTAAGAGCATGTGTGTGTACTTTGGCTGTGTTGTTAGCTTCATCAGAGAATATTGTGGTTTTTTTTTATGTCTTTAAATTTGCAGAAAATTCATTAAAAATTACATATTTAAACACACATTATTATTTTGTTTAGATGCTTAAAGACAATCCATTATTGATATTCTCTGTTGCAACATAACAAGAGCAGTTCTTTTACATTTCTTGGAATTAGATGCTCTGTTTGAGTTTCCTCCTAAAGGGGAATGACAATCCCACATCTGTGATCGTGTGTGTGTGTGTTATCATTGTTGGCCGGCACACCAAAAAAAATGTGATATTACTGATGGGGCGTCAACTAATCTGTGAGTTGAAACGTAAACTCTTTGCCATGGTTTGATTCACACAGCAATGTACAGAGAGGTTTAAGGGCTTTTTGTTGATGTAAGGTAGACAGTCCGTTCATCGGTTGTCTATTAACTCCACCCAAAAGAGAGGAAGCTAGCTAGACCTACCACCCTTTCTTTTGTCTGACAAACACAGCACTTTGAATGCATCAGGTGCAAATGACTCACGCTTTGAAACAAACGCTGCCAGCTACTTGAAAAGAAGAATTTTGCTTTCGACTGTAGCCCTTTTTAGATGGCAATTTCAACAACATGTGTTATTGTCAGAGCCTTGTTTATATATAAAGCTGTTTTAGTCTAGGACTAGGACTCACTGCTTATTAAGATGTCACAAAAGTGTCTTTAGATCACGGTTATTCTGTGTCAATTTATGTGCAATATGAAGCAACGAATTAACCAAAGTGTGCTAACATTAGCATGCTAACACAACAATGCAGGACACAGGCGATTGAAACTCGAGCAAAGAACGATTTTGTCATGCTCTTAATGGTGTAATTGATAATTCCTTCGAGTGAGTGCGAGTGGAGAGGGGTTGGAGGTGTGCCACTGGAGGAGAGCGGAGGCTTCAGAATAGAGGAGGCGTGACCAAACAGCAGTTTGTTTTGGTTTCATGCTGGTGCTCAAGGGCGACATCTACTGGATCAAAAAGTCGCACATTCTTCCTTTAAGAGGCTTTCTTAAAATTAAAACCTTTGATAATGCACTAGCCTTCTCTATGGAGCTGATTTAGTATATTACATATCTATAATGATGATACATTTCTAAATTGCATGGCATGGATGACAATCTTTACAACATGGGGTGCACACCTACAGTGATATTTCTCTTGCTCAGCCCCTCCCCCCCCCGTACCTGTGTTCCTCTAAAGCTCTCTCTCTCTGTGCATCCCTCTGTGTTATATAAACTGCCTCTGAGACCTTGAAAGATGTTGTACAAGTTTCATCTTTTATCATTGTTGTTAAAAAGGAGCAGAGTTTTTTGACCCTGGGAGAGACCGTGCTGGCAGCGCTGCTCAGGCCTTGGCTTTGGCACTCGCTAATATTTCACATTCAGAACACTTTCCAGGCAAAACCTACGCCGTATAAAAAAAACTCACAAATCATGTTGAAGAAACATTTCTGAGTCATGCGTGACAAAATGTAATCGAATGTTTTTTTTAGACATCAGTAGACATTTATACAAGTTTAATTTGTTACATGTATGTGCTTAGTAAGGATGATTCAAAACAGCTCTTTTAATAATCATTCTCTTCACTCTCTCTCTCTTTATGTTTCAAAGCCTCACTCAAACGAGGCACTCCAAAAAAAACTGCAGAAGTGTCCGTGTTGTTCCTTGAAGCACTTTCTAATGGTAAGATTGGTTTGCAGAGCTGTAGTGCTACTGCAGACATGGGAACAGCATGTGCATTCTTTGGAAAAAGAAATAAAGGGCTCAAATGAGAGGTGTTAAAATTTCTCTAATTGTATTTTCCTCTTGGAGGTTTTTTCATCTCCCCAAAGTAGGCAATTAGATCTGAGGAGAAAGGCTAAGATGCTGGATAATGTGAAGGAAAATAAAGCTTATAATAGTACCACCACCACCATGTGGTAGAACAGATAGCATCAACGTTGTCGATACCTGGAGCTCACATGAATGAAGCCTGGGTGGTAGGTTGCGTAACTCATCAGTATTTGTGAAGGCACAATCCCTGTGTGTTTATTCTTTTCATCTGGGCACTTTTAATTTTGACTTTAAATTGTAATATCATTGTTTCTAATATTTCAATAAAAGCTTCATTTCCACTGCGCAGTGTGGCACTACTCTTTAGGCTTTTAACTGTAATGAAAAGTTCTTTATATAGGCTTTCTCCCCCAGCATGTGTGCACTTTAACTGCCAATTTCCAAATACTCTGTGCGCGCCGCCGCTCACTGCCACTCTAGTCAATGTCTCCTGTTTCCACAGCGAGCGCCGCAGTCCACCCCCCTGCTCTGCTCCGTTTCAAATACGCTGTTATCTGCAACATTAATGCTGTGTGGAAAGACGTCCCTGACGCCCAGCCACTACCATCGGACCGGGTCGTCCCATGGCGTGCTCCGACCTCCACCTCAGCGGCAAGGTGAGAGGACAACCGAGAAATCTTGCCTGCATATTATCCCATATGCTCTTTTGTAAAGCGTCTTGAGATAGCACTTGATCACTCGCTATACCACATGACCAAGATATTGGCATCCATTCCCAGAGGCATGTATCATCATCAGACAACGATTGCTGAAGTGTTCTGAGATTGTTCGATAAATAATATAAACATAGCTTAACTTCAATGATAATATTGTGTTTCATTCACTTCTTGCTCATGTTTGCGTTGCATTGACGACACAATCCGAGCTGAGAACTGTTTGTGTCTTCCACTGCACAGAGCACAGGGAGTAGACGTACCTTGCAGCACAAGTACCAATTCCCAGTGATTAGAGCCAATATAGTGTATGAAAAGTGTAAAGCATAAGTTTACTCTAAAAGGGCTTTATGGAGTTAGAAGTCATACTGACGTGTATGCAGGGGTCCTACCTTTTTACATAACAAGAGTTTCAGCTGTAAGGAAAAGTTCACAACATTTCCGAGTCCGGGCCTGAGGAACATTTGGTAAATGCTATTATCCTGCCTTATTCCCAAATCAGGTTGTTGTCAAAGTTTTCCTCATTAGCATGCTGTCAGCTTTACGACTTGTTGAAAAACGGGGGAGCAGAGGCGAGGGAGAGGGAGTCCTAAAGTCTAATTCTTGGGAAGTCATCGAGCTGGCCAATGCATGACAGCTTGGAAAGACGAGGGAGAAGGGCCAAATGTAATAAGACATGCTCTCTACTGAGTGTAGGTGTGTGTGTAAATTTGTCAGAAGCTTTTCTTTTCTTAGAAAGCTCACCCTTCTTGCCAGGCCCAGGGCAATGTAGCACTTCTCCCCTGCATCAACAATCTCCAGTTCATAGTAGTGGCAGCGGGTGGTGAGTGGCTGGCGGGCCTGAGCCAAACCCACGTCCATGATGCTCTTTCCTTTGCCAACGTACTCCAAGAGCTGGTGTGAGGGGAGAGAAAAAATATAGGGGTTAAAACATTAGGAAAATAGATTTTAAAGTAGACTACCAAAACACAAGCATTCTAATAAGCAGTGCTCACATTACCCTTTGAGTTATAGCCTCATAAACTCCAACCATAAGACTCATTCACCCCGAGACCTACAAGACAAAGATCACCATCCAAGCTGCCTGGCTTTCATAACACAACAGGGTCCACGCTATGGTCAGCTCAAATGCCTCAAACTAAGTGATCCCCTGAAACCCCCTCCCCTCACACCTTTTCAAAGTCCGTATTGAAAAGTCTTGATCAAACACATTTTATTACCATCCAAAAACCAATCCAACAATCACACTCACTTCACACTGCATTGCTTCTTCTTTCTCAAGCTCTCTCTTTGTAAGTCCCGTTAGCAGCACTTAATCTGTCCACCACCAAAACCTTTCAACGCGCTGCCGCCCTTTCATGAAGGAGCCAACTGACTGCGATGATCCCTGTCACATTTCCTCTAGCGCTTCAATTAAGTTGGTGTTTTTGTGGATTTAAGGGAAATGTCTTCCGATGAATTTCCATGAAATGGGGGGGGAAATCAATGGTACCAACAGGGTGATGACCGACCGACATTGTTGCTTTGAAACAAGTGAGTTAACTGTGGGCTACAGCTATATACTCGGGCCATGATTTAACAAATACATCTTTAAAGAATGTCCAGCTCCTTGTGTTTAGGATATCAACATACACCTGTTCCTCTCGCATCAAGCAGCAAACTTTGCCTCACTTACTCGCCCTTTGCTCCTCTCGGCGTCGGCTCTATTTACATTCAGATTCAGATTCAGAAAACTTTATTTATCCCAGAAGGGCAATTCAGTTTCACAACCTACCGAGTCATTGAAAAACGCAAAGACAACATAAAAGGAAACAAACACATCACCACAGCATTCAAACAGTTACATTCACATGTCAGTAACAACAGTTACAATTTCCTAATACGATGACAGACTTGTTCAGCATTCAACAGCCTGATAGCTGAAGGGATAAAAGAGTTGGAGTATCTATTTGTCCTCCTTGGAGGGGCAAGATAGCGCCGTCCAGAGGGCATTAAAGAAAACTCAGATTAGACAACATGTTCAGGTTGGTTTATGATCCCTTTGGCTTTCTGGACCGTCCACAGGGACCTCAAGTCTTTCAGCTGGACTCCAATAATCTTAGAGCAGACTTTTACGATGTGGTTCAAACTGTTCTTGTCAATTCACAGACAACCCATTGAACCAACAGATAAAAGAAAATGTTAAAAGACTTTCGATAAAAGAATAATAAAAGCTACATAAAATGCTTAGTGAAACACTAAAAGAGTCAGTTACATGTGAAAACCTCCGTACTTCATGTGATCTATGGGATTGATCTGAAGTTGTCTTGAATGTTCCAGACTCTAATGAAACCCTGTCTTCCTCCAGCACCACCGCGAGGTTCTGGACTTTGAGAGAAAAAATCCTGGAAAGATAAAAGTGAACTTTTTTCACCCCTAACATCCACATCAGGTTCAATTCACCCCAATAGTCTGGATTATAATCAGATCTCTGAAAGACTAAAAACAACAGTCTCAGTGTCAGTACTGACCCTGCTTCTCCTCCTACTAACCACGCCTACCGCTGAAGACCCTGAAGCGAATCCTCATAAAGCATTATCATAACACTCAGCCATACTTTGGGATTTGGGTTTTTGAGCATGTAAGCCTCCAAACTTACCTTATTAAGATGTTGATCAAGGTTAATAACAAAATAAAAAATAAAGCAAGGTATTCCAGCCTGGTGAGTGTGGAAAAGTGTTGGAAAAACCCAACCCATACGTGATGAAGGTTGGACACACCAATTCAATAAATATATGTCAGCATAAAGCGAGGCAGTGTGAAAGAGCTTTTTGTCATTGTCTTTAAGCTCTTTGGGCATTAGCCTTTAGTTCACAGATTGTTTTACCTGCTACATGACCGCATGCACCTAGTACTGGTTACACCTTTGAGAAGAGACCAGAGACCCTTCTGACAGACGACAGTGTAATATGACTTATTCACTGTTTATGTTTCACTGGGGTTTCGCCACTGTTGCTCGGTAACCACAAAAAAGTGTTTCTTTGTGACAAAAAAAAACACACAAAAACGTTCCTATACAAGTAGCATTAATATAAGAAACTGTAATTATAGTGTCAGACGATGCTGCTTTGCCCGCCATTTCCGCATCGTTCTTATACATCATGTCCTGCCTCCTGAACCCCCACCCCCCCTTCCAGTCTGACAGGCTGCTGTAAGCTGCACATGTGAACAGGCAAAGGTGGACACAGGCCTGTCCTGAAATCTAGACATTTTCAGGAGTGCATGAGTGAAAGAGGAACATGTTAATCAATAAATTTAATGTCAAAAAGGGGAGAGTTTCTTCACCTCTTTTTTCAACAGCTTTTTGAAGGGGAAAAGCAGACTATGCCTCCTATGGACACATACCGCTAGCATAGCTTGTAAGTTTTACAGAGTCTTTGGAGAGACCATCCCAATGTGCCTCACCCCTCTCTATGGCAGCAGGGTTTAAACCTGCCTCTAATGGTGGCCATTCAGAAAAGATATCAATAATTTCGCCCTCAGACAAGGTGGGGCGACATGCTGTACAAACTACTTTGTTTCAAGAATACCTCGGGCCTTAAGTTTTCTCAGTCTACCTGTTTACTGCTGCTGTTATATAAGTTTCTTTTACTTTCTTTGTCTCAGTCGTTAAAAGCAACCGGGCCCGAGGCTAATTCAACTCCTTGTAAGTGGCAAAGTGGATGGGAGACACATCCGATCAAGCTTGGGCAGGATCTCCGCCCCTGAGATGAGCGACTTTACCACGCAACTCGCTTTAGCAAGAGTGTCCTAAGTGAGTGGGCACGGTGACAGACTGAGCCGCCCGTGGGGACGATTCAACAAGTACCAACAGCCACTCCAGGCTGCATGTTCAGCACCCAATGTTAATGCGATTGCTTTCCAGGTCTATTTTGGACTTAAGCATCTGAGCAGGTGAGGATGGGTGGATACAGGTGAGTAGGTGGGCAGCTAGGCAACCACAAAGCCTTTAGGCTGAGTGGGGTTTCCACTTCATTAATGGACGTATGTGAATGAATGAGCATGTGCACTTTGACGAAAAAAACAACCCCAGGTGGAGAAGCTGGGATGACAGACAAGGTGGGGGTGGACCAAATGGAATCATTGTGAGTGTGTGTGTGTGTGTGAGTGTGTGTGTGTGTGTGTGTGTGAGTGTGAGTGTGAGTGTGTGTGTGTGTGTGTTTGGCCGGCCAGACACTTGAAGGACACACCTGGTAGAAAAAGTCAAGTGTCTCAATTAAGTTATTACATTTCTTCTTGTTGTTATGCTCTGTTGCTAGGTGATGCATCACACTGAAAAAAAAACTGATTTCAGTCTGTGAGGTTTGATGATGGATTAAATTGGTTCCTGAGAACAGTTCTGAATAAAGAAATGCGCCATTTATATTTGTTTGTAACAGTAAACATTTTTGTTTACTGAAAATGTTTTAGTAAACAGCTGAAAAATAGGGATTCCTTCGCTTTTGCAGCCAGCCTCATACAGAAATTCTGTTTTTTAGCGATGCATTTTTCATCACTCGATGGAGTGCCTCCGGTTTGAGGCCCATAAGGGACAATGTCAACCACAAGGAAAATGCAAGTAGACCTCTGAGTCATAATCTCACTTTAAAGGTGCACTATGTAGATTTGGAGGTGACATTTAAAAGTTGGAGAAATGAAACAATTACCTGCCTAGGGACAACAGATGGAAACTAGCACTTCTGCTATAATCTGGCATTTTTACAGCTGTTCATTAATATGCACTGTCCCTAACAAATAAATAGATAAATAAAATAAAAGCTATATTTTCTGAACTAAATTCACAAACTTTATTCAAATAAAAAAATGGCTCACTGGACACTGATTGAAGCTAAAAAGCTATAAGGAGAGTTACGGTCTCACTGTTACAGGCCCACCACCATAACTAATTTCCTCTTCAAACAGTGTTACAGGGAACACATTTTCCTCTGAGGACAGTTTATGTATAGAGAGTTGTGAACATATACCACAGGATCTGTACATTTCTCCAACTTTCCAATTTCTCGACCAAAACTCAAATCTGTTCAACTAAAATAATACATATTTTGTATATACTTGTCATCTCTTCATTTTTACTGAAACGTCCAATAGACAAAAAGCTTGTAATGCAACATGCAAACTTCTCTTACTGTACATTATGCGCCATAATGATCTGTCCTTTTGCAAAGCTTTGTTGCTATGCATTTTTAAACTAAAGGAGACAAAGAAAATCTCTTTAAATTCCTGGAACCAGAACAATATTTCTTCATAGTTTCTTTATAGCAGGAGGCTGATTAATTGTTCATGTGGATAACAGTCTTAGCCTCCACCTTGTTGTTAAATACTGTCCTTTTCATGTGTACTCTTGTGTCTCCCTAACCTGCTGCACTTTCATGCCTGGACAGCTGCACTTCTTTTGGAAGAGGAGGAAAGAGTTTCGGTGTGATGAGCTCTTAGTCACGCCCTTTTCTTTTTTTTTTTTTTCTGCTTCTTGCTGCTGAGTAATGGAGGGAGGAGAGATACGAGAGGGCAGAAAAGAGAGACGTAGCCTTGAGCACAGCATGCCTCACTGACATAGCTCTTCTCAGCTGCTCCTCTAATTGTGAGAATGGTGATGGTGGTGTGCGAGGCCGTGTTTTTTTAAGATGCTGCTCGGGGAAACAGATGTAACGCCCAGTGAGTTGTCCTGCCAGATTCCTGTCACACCTAATGGGCAAAGAAATTTGACACTGTAATTCATGGAACTCTCCTTGATTAGGATTTTCACAGGGTTGTCATCTGGAGTCATCACATAAAAGTTGTTGGTATTCAGATAATATTTCAGGGCTATTATTTTTTTCTTTGGATTTCAATCTCTGTTTTTGCATCTCTGTGTATTT